GTGGATTTTGCCGATACCGATAGCTAGGTTGGACCGCACTGGCCGATACCGATTAATTAACCGATAGTTTTTAAAATGGATACTGAACAAAAACTAAAATAATGCTTTATTAAAAAAAACGTACTGAACCATACTAGTAGTAGTAGTAGTAGTAGTAATAATAATAATAAAAATGTTGAAATTAACACACTCTAACAAGGAACCAAACTTTCATTACACAGCTTTCATTAATCTTAATGTTACAAATGTACTCTTATTTTAAAGTGTTACCATTTCCTTTCAACAGTCATGCTTAAAGATGCACATCTTTAAATATATACACAAAGGCCATAGCATTAAAATTATATACATATGGATATTGTATGTATACTCTCACACTTTAACTTATTCTATTCTTGAACACTTGATGATTATCGAATCAAAATAAAAGCGCAGCGCTGAGTCTAGGAGAACTCACCGGTATCACATTACCCTAAATTTTTTTAATTGGATGAATGAAACATAAAACAAAGTGTATGTTTCAGTCCTGTCACTTTTTTTTTTACATACTTTTACACTTTTTCTGCTGTTCAAAAAATCTTTCTTTTCGCTATTACCACAAAGCTACAAATCTGAGTGCAGGGGCTGTACGTTACCATAGACACGTCAATGGTTTGCTCGTGACTCTCCTAAACAGCTCTGACCGCGCACTGAACACGTACTTTGCCCGGTACAGAAAATTTATTATTATTTTACATGTATATGTAGAGGTCTAAAACAGTTTATTTAATCACCAAACGGACACAAGTTTACTTCAAGAATGAACGAACAATGAGGCATAGAGTTTGAAGTTCGGTGTTTAAAAAACAGAGCAAACGGAAAGAGGAAGCGCAATCTATATTATAGCTCTATAAATGAAGCATTAACAACAATTTGGGACAAATATAATGTAATTTAATGGAAAACTATGTGAATGGCGCGGAAGGATTTTCTGTCGGCTGCATTTAAATCCGCGTCTGAAGTTTCCCACTCTGTTCAGCGTGCAGTATCACGTGTCTAAACAAATAGCAC